CTACGTCTCTCTCTCTCTCTCTCTCTCTCTCTCTCTCTCTCTCTCTCTCTCGTAACGCGATTCGCTTGCGGATATGATGGATGCCGGGGGTCGTATCGGTAATGTGTTGCCAGGCAACCGGGTCCGTGCGTGTGTGTTGCTAGGCAACCGTCGACGCTGGCCGTGACACGTGGGGCGGATGTCGCGGGAAAGTCCGAGAACACTCCGACTTTCGGGATGAGATGGAGCGACAATGCTGAGAACGCTCGGTATTGTCGTGAGGAGAAAAATCCGAGAACACTCCGATTTTTCCCGAGAAGGGAGGAACAAGAATATAGAGAACGCTCGGTATTCTTGTGGAGCGAAAAATCTGAGAACACTCCGATTTCTCGAGAAGAAATAGAACAAGAATACGGAGAACGCTCGGTATTCTTTGAGAGAATCTTCTCTCGCTGTTCTGATCGGAATGGTTGTTTGGAACGGACAGGTCGGAGGAGCGGATAGGACTGTGTCTTTTTCACAAAATTCGTCGGGTATTTATACCCATCTCTGTGCCACGTGTCAACGTTTAGTTAGTTAAGCGTTTGTTAAATAAAATAGTTGATCACGTCGTCGATGCGTGACAGCTCGCCGGCGCGCGTGTGTCGGTCGGTCGCGGTCGGGAGTATTCGGGCGGCCCCGGATGGTGCGGGCCGCATTAGCGCGCGCTAGCAATGGAGCATCCGAAAGATGCTCCGTTACAAACTATTGCATTCCTCGCCTACATAAATATCTGGATGACCGATTGGAAAAACTCCAGTCTTAAGTACGTACGGGTATAGAGAACATACGTCTATGTAGCGTATCTTCTCGATACCCGAAACCTCGAATCACGATATTGCCAGTGCGTCTGTCAAAAAATGCATCACGAGGATCGAGAGGCGAGATTTGTGCCATAGGGTGATTCTTAAGAAATTCTCGTATCTCTCGATTCTCGCGCTATTTTTTCATCAAAAACGCACTCCCACTCTTTTTCCATTAGGATATATTCCTGACGTAACCGCCAAGACGTTGTAACCGTTCGTTCATAACGCGTGTTAATCGTATCTTTAAAATTCGAGGGTTTTATCGCGATTTATTGGATAACAAGACGGGCATCCGTGAAAAAAGCATCCGTGAAATTGTAAAACATGACATTGCGTCTCATCTCCATTCTCGCATTCGTAACACCCATCGACAAGCATACTTTCTGCTAATCGATATTCGCGTCCACGTCCCGCGTGAATTATTCGATAATCGATCTCGCATTCCTTCAAAATTAGCCATTGCACGGCTTTACGCGACTGGTTATCTTCAAATCTATATCCACCCGATGGAATTTCCTATTTTTTCTTCGCGCAAAAAGTTTTTCCGAAAAACTCTCATGCACGTTGAAGCGATAATTGTACATTCCTTGAATGGACACACGTTTCCCCGCTCTAGGAATATTTTTCTGAAGGCCATGCATGCTCGTCGAAGGATATCAACGTCAGTGCGACAATATTCAAGTATTTCGCGTTGAAAATTAAACATAATATTTTTTCTGTCATTTTCGCGTGCCAGGCAAGAAAACGTTCGTATTCCTCTGTTTGCATTGTTTTGGGCGACTAATAACGAACATCCGGTAGTGGATCGACATATTATATATTTGATTATCAGCAGTATTAAATAAGTGAGGAAAGACATCTTTGTCACAAGTATCCGGTAACCCGAAGGCCTTCGGTAATTTTGACAAACGCATCGGCATATAATTAATACTGTCGATAATTTCGTACGATTTGCTGATAAGATAATACCATAATTTTTTTATCGTTCAAAATTATACGAGGTTCTAATTCGGAATAATTTTCAACAATGTACCGAAGGATAAATTGTGTGTCGAATGATTTTGCGTTATGCGTTATACAAATGATCCGAGTAAAATGTTTCGTAGGGCGTTGCAAATTCGACAAATTGTTTTACAGGATCCTCCCGAAAAACAAATTCGCGTACTCCACACCAATCACAACGCACCGACAAATTATCTATCTCCGCGCACGAATCGCAAATCTGTTGCGCGACGCAGAGACTCGTTACGTGAATTTTTATATCGGTTCCCTCAAGCGATTGATCTTGACGCGTCTCAAAATCATAAAACATGAAACATGCCGTTCGTCTCTTTTTGCGTTCCCGCTCACCCGCATTATTCTGCTTGCTCTCTCTCGTAATTACAGAAGAATCTCGGATTCAACAGCGGAGGATCTGTCTTCACGAGAGAAATCATCTTTGCATGTAGCAAAGATGATTTAGCGGTTTTTGCGAACTGCAAATTTTACAAAAAAAAACGGCACATTCGTGTTTTTTTGTCGCTTTACAAACTTTTAAAACTTGCGTGATGAAACTGAAGTGAAGCACGAAAGAGTTTAACTCAGAAATAGTTTTAGGTAGCGCAAGACGCACTATTTATAGGAAAAATCCTACCTTTTCCGTACGGAAAAGAGACTTATCAAAAATTATAGAATTATTCTGTAGGGAAAAAGGGGGTAAGAATGTTATCTCAGCCCAAGTAATAAATCATTTTTTCTTGTAAATTTGTATTCCTTGTATCTAGACTAGACTTGACCCTTTTTCGATTTCACCTTTTTTGTTTAGTAACGCATAAACGGTGTCAGACATATATCACGTTCAAATGAATAGTTATTTAAATTTGAGGAAAGTTCTCGCTTCTTCAAATTTAACATTTAAAATATTTTTTACTCGTAATTCTATATTTCGATAATTTCTTCTTCTTGAAATAGTTTTTGTATGATTTTTTTCGATGATTTTTTTAAATTTTCTCATCTAATATCCAAGCATGTTCGAACGTGATCGAACCTGCAATATTCGCTTTATTCGAGAAAATTCTTTTCTTATTGAAAAAAGAGCAGCATCAAATTATAAT